TACATTATTTACAATCCAAATGCTGATGATTTGTGTAGTGTGAGAAACACTCTTTTATTCTTAGAAGCCTGTGCAAAAATATTTGAAAATGGGTTGTTTTATCATTTAAAGGTAACTCACATGAAGTCAGAGATTATTACATCAATTGAGGATGGATTTTCATTTTTGCAAAGTGGCTACTAGTAGATGAAATTTTCAAGAATGGTAATAAAATCAATCTCAAAACTTACTATAACGTACCCTTTTATAGATCCAAACTTTGAGTATTCCACTCCATTGAAGTTAGCAGCACATTTTGCAGCAGCACATTCTTCTTAAACCACAGGAATGTGCTGCTGCATCAACTGCAAAACCACAGGAATGTGATGCTGCAGAGCGGATGGCGGATGCGCTAGTTGATTAGCTACGGGAGACTACTGGTTGATGGATGTAGAATTCTAGATTTTTGAAACTCTATAGGACCAGACCTACACTTGGTTAATACTATTTAGCTATGCCTGGGATGTTGCTCATCTTAAGCTAAGATATTCAGTAATATTCTGCTTTGATGGAGGCTATGGCTCCAGGGTGCGGTACTAGTAGTAATAAATAATAATAATAATAGTAGTAATAATAACAATAAGAAGAAATATCTATAGATTTACAGAATGAGGCATGTACTGACGGACCGGTTTTGTTTTACTCCTATTTGTACCTCTGTAGATGGACTGTTGGTTTGTGAACTAATTTTTTTTAATTATTGCAGAGAGGTTATCTTATAAATAGAACACTAACTATAATTGTTGTGCTGAAATATTAAGGTGAATCAGGACTCATCTCACTTTTTCAATTCTGAGACCCACATGAGATCAATTAATGTGGTCGACAGTTCCCATCTCAATCTCATTATGCACTAAATTGAATTATTTCTGAATTTATTTTACTTTTTGACTTTTTTTATCCTACTCTACTATGTTGATATTGGTAGATAATAATAATAATGACAAACCTATCTTCACCTACTCTTAACATATTCTACCTATTGTGTACATTGTACTGGACTTAAATATTTAATCTTTATTTTCCCTTAACTCTCTGTCTCTTTTCTCTCATTTTGAGAGAAAGGATTTTTTGCCTTCTACACTTGAAAAAAACAGTTTGCCTTTCCTCTCCTTTCCCTTTTTGTTTTTCTCTATTGTTAGTAATACTTAGTTTCTGTTTTTGGTTTGTATAATAATAATAATAATAATAAATATAATAATGATAATTAATATAATAATAATAATAATAATAAATATAATAATAATAATAATAATAATAATAATAATAATAATAATAATTGCAAAAAATAATAATAATAATAATAATAATAATAATAATAATAATAATAATAATAATAATAATAAAATATTTAATGCTACAGTTGATTTGATTTATGCTACCATAAAACTTCATGCAGTTGGTAATATCTTTTTCTTGAACATTTCGACAGCATCCTCATACTTAATATCAAATTTTTCCATTAAAAGTATTGTCATTGTCTAATGTATAATGTGAATTTTATGATTATCAGTATAGTTTATTATACCTCTGGCCACATTTTGGAATTCATCAAAATTAAAACTGGACGTTGTAGTATATCTCCTTCCAACCCAAATAAGTATTGCTGTATTTCAAAGTACTATGACAAAAGTATACTTTAATTATCTATTATATTTATGATTTACCATATCATCTAGTTCTAAAGGCCATGAATCATACAAATCTCTTCGTTTTATAATTCCTTCAGAAAATCCACTACGGATCCAATAAATTTCACGAAGATGAGACTATTTTAAATTATTTGTAATAAACTTTAGCACTCCATTTTGTTACCTCATTCTTTTTTACTGCCTTTCTTATAAATTCTCTTTTAAAAATGCAATCACTAATATTAATAGACAATTATTAACTTTATATAAGTAGACATGTATATTTTAGTAATAAAACAATTGATAATAATGATAATAATATAATAATAATTTTAAAAATATACCTGTCACTCTTGCTTCTATCCAATACTGGAAAATGATTTAAATACCATTCTTTTCCCCAGTCGAATTCAAAAGTACAAATATCATCATCATTTACATTTGGCTTATTTAAAAAATTTGGTATTAAAAAGCCTTTACTTTCAGGATCATCTATTTCATTTAGTCATTTATCTATATGCACTTTTAATCTATGTACTGCTCACTTTCAAATATAGATTCCTGGTTGAGTTGATTTACTATGTCATCTAGCTCTATGTGAATTGATTTCAGTATTTGTTAATAATGTGCTTGCATTAAATACTTTGTTCCCGTTCATTATTTTTCTGTAGTATCTGAGGGAAGTATTTCTGAATCATTTCCTCATCATAACTTTCTGACAAATGCAAGCTATTATTTATACTTTAATTTGATCATTTTATTTGAGTGCAATTATTTACCTTGTATTTATTATCCATGTTGTAATAGACACATCAATGATTTTGCCAAAGGAAGCTGCAATTAACTTAAGAAAAATATAAATTATTTTTAGGAATTTAAAGTTTACTTTGCACATTGCTTCAGCAGCATCATTAACATCATTTGCTTCAATCTGCAAATCAGTATTATCAATGATAAAATATAAATTTAATATCTCACTTCAATCTCTTTAATATCCCAATGACTATACCTTCTCGATGGTGCACACTTCCACATTGCAACTGATTTTCTGCAGTATACAAGTATTATCGTAAAAGTGTCGTGTTGCATGTAAAGTGTTACTTATACCTGAATGCCTGCACTAAAGCTTCTTTTCTTTCAATGTCTGTGTGAGCATTATAAACAATTATCTCTCCATTGCTTGGTAGTGATGTCTTTTAGAATGTAGTTTTATTGTCATAGAAGTAAAAACTTAATGTACTTACTAGTAGTATTTTGTGTTCAAAAATGGGACAAATTATCATGTGTATTGCGTCATTATTCTGCAAACAATTTAAGTGGAAAAAAAGATTAATATTTTTCTAACTTTTACACTGCGTAAAGGATTCAATTTGTCGAAATCAACTGCTTTCTTTGTTTTGGAGCATTCAAGTAATTCTTCAAAAGACACCAGTTCAATAGCTCCATAGTAGTCCTGTTGTTATAGCCTTGGCAATTAGATATTATAGTGCAATAACTTACTTCATTGTACGGCTCTTTGTGCTTTTGTTCAAAAGCAAGTAACTTGAGAAAGTACATGGCATGCTATTAAAAATTATGTAAATTTGTCATGGTATACAAATATTTTAACCTTTTCAGATAATGAAGACACATTGAGAAGGCTTGCTATGTCATCTAAAAATAAATTAAAATTTCCTATAGTGATGATTTCCTTTGCTGAATCCTCTTGACTCCACATAGCCACATCTTTTATTGAAGGTATTGAGGTTTGGCCAGCTGCATTTCAATGAAAATAATCGTGCATGCAAGCAATTATCTTACATGATTTCAAAATAATTCCCAGAATTTCAATTCTTGCATTCTCCATATCATCCTACAAAATTTAGTATAATACTTTTAACTTTTAGATACCAGTAATATTACTTGGCAATAATTCATTTGTCTTTTTTCAATAAAACATTTTGCTGCCTGTATTGTTTTATGAAAAATTAGAGCAATAATTTAAGGTCACATCTTACCATGCAAACAAAAACACCACAATCCACTGCATTTGTCTGCACTGGTGTGTTACTCATCTAAGACATAGCAGTTACTAATTATTGATTATGATGAAAGCAATTACACTATACCTGACAATTGCAGTATGACCAATCATTAAAATCAAGTGTCATATTTGATTCTCTGCACAAATAATACCTATAAATTCTAAAATTATTCTTTCCTGAGCTCTTGAAATAATACCAAATGGAATTTATTATTGTAGGTCTGTGTAGGCCCAGTGAATCCACTTCATAAATAACTTTGTTTATTGCATCAACTGCCTATGGTTGTGACACAACAATATGAAAAACATGCATTCATTCTTACAATTAGAATCCAATGATGACTTTGATGTATGGGGAACAAAATTATTTCGTTTGACAGTGTGCAACCCTATGTAAAGGAGAAGTCTTAGTACAATTTATACATTTAGACAATACAAACTTTAGTATATTTTAGTGTGGCAAAATATCCACGGGCTTCAAAAACTGGTAAAAATACAGGATCAATCACTTGAACCTTTACAAAAAACTGAAACTTAATAGGAAAATTTGAATTACCTTATTTGTAAGCACTGCTCTAATATAATATACTATAACCTAATGAGATATTATTGTAAATGAGCTATAAAACTATTGGCTTTGTTACATCAGTAGATAAATGTTGCCCAGTTGAAAGACATTTGTATTCTTCTTTTATTACATTCCAATCCTAAAGCACAAAATAGAGTATGCCATGCGATTTATTTGCATTTCTTACAATGCTACCAGCTTTAACTGAATGATACAATGTAAAAGGAGGCTATAGGTTAAAGAAAAATATTATTTACAATTATAATTATTTAGAATTACTAACACTTTTC